CCTTGGGGTCACACACAACAGATCTTCCCACACATTCCCTCTGGGGATGGTCACCTGAAGGGCTGCCCAATCCTGAAACCTCCATAAGTCAGTCCCTCAACCCTCAGTCATCCAGTCCTAATTTCCCAGCTCTCAGTCTAGAAGTGCGGCCTCTTGCTGTTTCTTTTATCTTCCTGGTTGGTGGCTACAGGCAGGCTTCCTCCTAAGGCTTTCAACTTGATTCTTGCAAAATCAGTCTGGGCAGTGAGGCAACCCAAGAACGGAAGGTGGTGGTGGGGGAGGGGACGGTGGGAAATCAACATCCATCAGGATTTTTCTGCAGATACCATCCTGTGTCGTTCTTTGCGTCCCCCATGATGCTCGACTCGGGCCAGAACTCTCCTATTTTCCCTTCATGAGAATTAAAACAAACAACAACAACAATTTTTTTTTTTCTCTCAAGAAACAAAAATACGCAGCTGCAGGATTGACGCGCAATTCCCTCCTGCTCCAGGGAGCTCCAAAAAGAAGGTGGTTTCTGGAAATGGCTGCCTCCTCTGCCTGCCCCCCGCGTCCCCCACGCGAGACCATCACCAGCTACTCCCTGTCTTTCAAGCGGTCGCAGCCGAGCTCGGCAGCCAGGCGACTGAGCGCCACGGAGGCGAAGAGGTCTTCGATGAAGGTGAAGTAATCCAGATAGACGTTGGGGTAGCGCGCCTGCCAGCGCGCATCGCGGGCCGCCTCCCTGGCCCTGCAGGCGTCCATGAACACCCAGTTGGGTTCGTCCAAGCCCCGGAACCGGCCACCGTGGGCGCGCGGCATCTCCTCCCCAAACAGGGGCTGAGGTCGCCCCCAGTCCACCGGGAAGGTGTCGGCTTCGCGCTCGGTTCCGGAGAAGGCGGCCGAGCCCATGCACAGCTCTCGCAGGAACCGGGTCCTGGACCGACTTTCGGGGGTGTCGGCCAGGCGCACCCGCGCGGCGGCCATCGCGGGTGCGCCCGGGCCGGAGGCCGACCCCGGCTCCGCTCGGGCTGCGGAGCTTACCTCGGGCCGCGGAGCGTCGCCCTCCGCCGCGTCTCTCTGCGGGACGCCGCTGCCTCCGGGGAGCTCGGACATCGTGCACCGCGGGAGCTCGGCGTTTGGCAGCGGCCACCGGAGCAGCGGAGAGCGGCGGACGGTGTGGTCGGGAGCGCGGAGGCGCGTGCGCGTCGGGGAGCGCGCCTGCGTGCGCGTGCATGCGCCTGCGTGCCGACGCTCGCGCCCTGAGTGACTTGGCAATCAGGAAGATGATTTTATTACCTCAGGCAATGTTGAGTCTGGAAGAAGTTGCCCTAGTCTTAAGAGCCGCTTTCTATTTTAAAATAGACTGGAATCATTGTTTGAAAGACGCACCCCCCCCCCCATTTCCGCATCTCAGTTCTTGCCTTATTTTCAGGAGCTGGACAATTTGGGGTCCTGGACATCGGGAGTGCTCACCTTGAACGTGCTGGGATCCCATTTGGGCACTGGTTCTAATCTCAGTGGCCCCACTTCCCATCCAGCTCGCTAGCAGTCGAGGATGGCCCAAAGCTTTGGGACCCTGCATCCGTGTGGGAGACCCGGAGGAGACTGCTGGCTCCTGGCTTCAGATCGGCCACTTGAGGGTGAATCAATGGATGAAAGCTCTTCCTCTCTGTCTCTTCTATTTGTATATCTGACTTTCCAATAAAAACAGAATACATCTTTTTTTTTTTTAAACAAAGGTACAGGCTATAGAAATTCATCAGGAGCTTTCTCATCTTAATATAAAAAAAGCTATGTACCATCTGTATTTAGAAAAGTAGAAGAACCTGGAGGGAAAGAAATGAACGTCTCACACATGACCAGCTCTAGGATAGGCTCTGAGAACTATTGAAAAACATTACATATCTTCTCTTCGTTGAGATTCTTCCAGAAGTAGATCTTGAGACTGGGGAAACGCAAGAGGTTTATCTGGGAAGAGAAGGTGGTACTGGAGAGGGATTGGGGAAGTGTTATAGGGAAAGAATGCTGCTGACCAAAGGTGTGAAGTCAGCTGGGCACTGCACAACTGAACTTCAAGCTCACCAAAAACTCGAGAAATAATTTATAATAGCCCAGAACGATCTCACCAGTGAGATGGAGCTGGGCTCTGAATACACCAGATTCTCAAGTTTCACTGGTTAGAGTCATTCCTTGTAGGTCATAACTCATGGGCATTTCAACTTGCTTCTGGTTGGGTTTGAATATTTGTCCCTTGCCCACTCAGGATCCCCTAATTCTACTGTTAGTGGTACCAAAGAGTGGTATCAATGCAGGTTTGGTGTTTGGTACGATTGGATGACTGCGTTCTGGTGGCTTTTTAAGAGATCGTACAGTTGTAGACAAATACATTTGCTGCCTGCTTCTCACCATGTGAGGCTGTCCTGTTCTAGGCCTTTGCCAGCAAAAGTGCTATTCTCAGAGGACAAACTAGTTGGGGCTACAAAGTTCTAGAACTGAGCTAAATAAAACCTTTTCTGCTCGTAAGTTAGTTGCCTCAGGTTAGAGTGGCAAAAACCTGAGTTACTATACCTTGTACATGTGAGTGTCCTGGCTTTCTGTAGCTCCAGGTAAAGGGATTTTAAGACACAGATGAAGACACGGCAGTTGGGGTATATGGTAATGGTTTATTTGAAGCGAGAAGAATTAAGAGATTCTGGAGAATGAATCAACAGTTGAAAAATTTCTTCCTCTTTGTTTCATTTGTTCCCTCTCTACCTCTCTACTTCCCTGCCTCCTTCCTTCCTCTTCCTCATTCTCTTTAATGGTCTGCCTTTCAAATAAAATTTCAATTGAAAAAAAAAGAGAGATGGATACATAAAGAAAACACACAAAAAGTTAAGAGATTCCCATCTACCTTGCTTGTCCCTCGTTTGGAAGCAGAAGGCAGGGCCCATGTTATTCAGCACCGTGGACAGCACCATAGGGCCCTGCAGCTTTGGAGAACTTGGTATCTATCCTGCTAGACCAGAACCGATTCTAAAATCTTAAGAAATTATTCATTCTTCACTTGAAAGGGAGAGACACACAGAGAAAAATCTTCCATTCACTGATGTACTCCCCAAACGGCCCAGACTGAAGTTAGGAGAGTGGAATCCAATCCAGGTCTCCATCATGGGTGGCCAGGGGCCAAGCACTGGGAACATCTTTCATTATTTTCCCAAGCTCATTTTCAGAAAGCTGGATCAGAAATATGCGAGCAGCCAGGACTCAGATCTGATCTGAGATGACAAGGTCACAGGCAGCAGGGTAACATGGCTCCAGAATCTATTCTTTTGGAGGTTTCAGCACAGTCTATGCAAAACTGAGGATCTTTGAAAAGGGAAGGCTGTTGGCAAGTGAACTAGTACAATAAAGATTTTCTCTCTTTCTTCCCTGCCTCTCTTCCTCTAATTCTGCTTTTCAAAGAGACAGAATACTTTTTTTTTTTAAAGATTTATTTACTTATTGGAAAGCCAGATATACAGAAGGAGGAGAGACAGAGAGGAAGATTTTCTGTCCGATGATTCATTCCCCAAGTGAACGCAACGGTAGATCCTATGCTTATCCGAAGCCAGGATCCAGGAACTTCTTCCGGGTATCCCAAACGGGTGCAGGGTCCTAATGCTTTGGGCCATCCTTGACTGCTTTCCCAGGCCACAAGCAGGGAGCTGCATGGGAAGTAGACTGCTGGAATTAGAACCAGCACCCATATGGAATCCCGGTGCATTCAAGGTGAGGACTTTAGATGCTAGGCCATGGCGCCAGGCCTGAAACAGAATACTTTTAAAGAAAGATTTATTTTATTTTTGTTGGAAATGCAGATATGCAGAAAGGAGGAGAGACAGAGAAGATCTTCCATCTGATGATTCACTCCCCAAGTAGCTGTAACGCCTGGAGCTGAGCCAGTCTGAAGCCAGGAACCTGGAGCTTCTTCTGGGTCTTCCATACAGCTTTGGACCATCCTCAACTGCTTTCCCAGGCCACAAGCAGGGAGCTGGATGGGAAGTGGAGTTTCTGGGATAGAACCGGTGCCCATATGGGATCCTGATATGTTCAGCTGAGGACTTTAGACGTTATACTATTGTGCCAAGCCCAGAAATAGAACAATCCAAAAAAAAAAAAAAATGGAATTTCCACAAAAGGAATTACAGGCTAAAGATGGGATCCTTGATTCATTATGAAAATACAGAAATGACCAAGACTGGGACAAAGAATATGTAAGGAGGATATTGTGCCTTAACAAAACTCAAGCGTTTTATTTTTTTTTGTCCTTAAGAATCTTTATTTTTCTATACTTACTATATTTCTTTTTTTTGTATTTAAAAAAAATTTTTTTTGACAATCTTGACATAATTAGGATAAAAAGTTTCAAGCGTTACAGGAAGATGGGCAAGACAATTAGTTCCATAATTTTTCCTTAATATATCTGAAAACTCAAGAGTTTAGGAATAAAGAGGATGGCATTGCATTCAGATATGGGATGAAACTGAAGAAAGACTTGAGGGAGATCATGACTGATGTGTTGGTATCTCATGGTATTTGGGTGTTGGGTAGAGAGAGAGAAAGTATCTGAAACCTCCCTTGGCCTATTTTTGGGTAATACCTCATCTCTAATGAAGGGTTCTCCAGATTTTCTAAGAAGCAGGTGATCTGGGCACTTCTAGAAGGAAAGGGCTGTAGCTCTTGGCAGGAACTCAAAGGGTAAAGGGTGGAGCCTGGTGCTGCAGTGAGGTATTCTGGGCTGGCTTCAGAAATGCTGTGTGGACTATAGCCATACCACTCTAAATGTGCCTGATCTTGACTGATTTCTGAAGCTAAGCAGGGTCGGGCCTGGTTAGTGCTTGGATTGTGATGTGTTGCAGCTGGTTGATGGTTGATAAGCTAGCATCTGATTACTGGGTTAATTGATAGTACCAACAGTGTGCAAATAGAGGTTCCATACCCTCTTGGCAATTACCCTTTAACTTCTTTTCAGCTGAAAACAAGAGGCACAACCTGTGAAGTTTGGTAACATTTTAATGAGCAAGTATAGCCAAGGAGATGAGGAGGAGCATCGTGTTGGCTTTGGGAATCCATAGGTCACGCAGAGAGAGGGGACTCCTGGATCATGGCATGTCTGGACACCCCTGTCCCCTAGCGGACGTCCACTGAGGTCAGGTAGACATCTCTCCACACCTGAATCATCCTCACAGATGCTGGGTGGACTCGGTGGGCAAAGCTGTAACAGTGCTGGCCGTTTATCACGACCTGCCGGAAGGAAGGAAGAGTGTCAGAAATACAGAATGCTACCACACAAGTATTCTGTATTCTGTTTTTCTTTTAAGATTTATTTTTATTGGAAAGGCAGATTTACAGAGAGAAGGAGAGACAGAAAGATCTTCCATCTGTTGTTTCACTCCCCAAGTGGCTGCAATGGCTGGAACTGAGCTGATCCAAAGCCAGAAACTTCTTCCGGGTCTCCCATGTGGGTGCAGGGTCCCAGGGGCTTTGGGCTGTCCTCTACTACTTTCCCAGGCTACAGACAGGGAGTTGGATAAGAAGTGTAGCATCTGGGACATGGACCGGTGCCCATACGGGATTCTGGTACAGACAAGGCGAGGATTTAGCCACTAAGCCATTGTGCTGGGCCCACTTTCTGTTTTCTATTTGCATGTATGACCTAGTACGTACACCGTTCACCCACAAACTCCTGATGAGACATCAGAACCCAATAGACAGACTTCTTTTTTTAAAAGAAGGTTTATTTGAAAGGCGGAGTCAGTGCCACCCTCCATCTCTGTTGGGAGCTGAAAACTTCATCCAAGCCCCCCACTTGGATGACAGAGGCCCCAAGTATTTGGGACAACATCCATTTACTCTCAGACACACAATAGGGAGTTGAACTGGCCCCACTGTAAGTATTACAGGCTCAGAGTAGGGCTTATTCTGCTGGACCATGGCACCTACAATGACATGTTTCTTCTTTTTCTTTGTAGATTATTAAAAAAAATAGATTTATTTGTTTTTATTGGAAAGTCAGATATACAGAAGGAGGAGAGACAGAGAGGAAGATCTTCCATCCGATGATTCACTCCCCAGTCACAATGGCTGGAGCTGAGCCGATCCAAAGCCAGGAAGCAGGAACTCCTTCTGTGTCCCCCACATGGGTACAGGGTCCCAAGGCCTTGGGCCATCCTCGACTGCTTTCCCAGGCCACAAGCAGGGAGCTGGATGGGAAGTGGGGCCTTTGGGATTAGAACCGGTGCCCATATGGGATGCCAGGATGTGTTCAAGGTGAGAATTTTATCTGCTAGGATACTGTGCTGGGCCCTGCAGATCACTTTTTTAAAAATAAAAACATTTATTTTTTATTGGAAAGGTAGATTTTCAGAGAGAAGGAGGGATAGGGAGAAAGATCATCCATCTGCTGGTGCACTCCCCAAATGGCTGATAATAGCCAGAGCCGAGCTGTTCTGAAGCCAGGAGCCAAGAGCCAGGAGCCTCTTCTGGTCTCCCATGAGGGTGCAGGGTTCCAAGGACTTGGGCCATACTTTGCTGCCTTTTCAGGCCACAAGCAGGATGTTGGATGGGAAATGGAGCAGCCGGGACATGAACTGACACCCATATGGGATGCTTGTGCTTGCAGCTGAGAATTAGCCCCTTGAGCCATGGCACTGGCCCCTGCAGATCACCTTAAGTGACTGCTTTGAACAGTTATTCATTATTTTCTCTGTCTGATCACTCTTTAACTGATTTTTTAAAAAAGATTTCATTTTTATTTGAAAATTAGATATGCAGAGAGAAGAGACAGAGAGGAAGATCTTCCAACTGATGGTTTACTCTCCAAGTGGCCACAACAGCCGGAGCTATGCTGACCCAAAGCCAGGAACCTGGAGCTTCCTCTGGGTCTCCCATGCGTGTGCAGGGTCCCAAGGCTTTGGGCCATGCTTGACTGCTTTCCCTGGCCACAGGCAGGGAGCTGGATGGGAAGCGGAGCTGCCAGAATTAGAACCGGTGCCCATATGGGATCCCGAAATGTGTAAAGTGAGGACTTTAGCCAGTAGGTTACCATGCTGGGCTCATCCTCAAGTGATTTTCTACCACTCAGTGTGACATGGTTATTTTTGTTTGCTCAGCATCCCCTGTAGCCTAGAAGATGCTAGAACAAGATCTGTGTCTCATGAATCTTGACTTTCTTGCATCTTGTACAAAGCTGACCATGGGGCTGGAACTTACTACAAGGTCATTGAGTGCCTAGGCTTCAGTTCCTCAAACCTCCACTGTATTTATGGCTCATAGTCCAGCCCTCTTCTGGGTCACTGATGGGAAAGAATGTAACCCTAGTGTTTGGAAAAGGTTTGGGTAATGCAGTGGTCCCGAGTGAAGATGTTGATCAAGACATTAAGACATTGTGGTGTGATCAAGATATTGATTAAGATGCCCTCGTATCATGTCAGAGGGGCTAAGCTTAGCTTCCTGGTAATGCAGGCCCTGGGAGACAGTGGTGATGTCTCAAGTAATTGAATTCCTGCCAACCACATGGAGAGACCTGGATTGAATATCCAGCTTCTGGATATTTGACCTCAGCCCAGCTCTACCTGTTGCAGGTTTTGGGGGGAGTGACTGCTTCTCAAATAAGAATTTATTGATATCTATTATTTAAATAAATTATAGTTATATGGAATGTGCATTTCCTGAATGTTAAGAAAAAGTGAAAGTATGGGGAGGTTGGTAATGGGAAAAATGTTATACAGAACCGAATTCAGCAGCATTTGTAAAGAAAAAAATTAGAAACAACCTATATATCCATCCATAAGGGCCAGTTCAAATTTAGATCATCTTTCTAGTGGAGTAGAATACAATCATGAATATGCAAGACAGAGGCCTCATAAATAAATTGATTTTTCTTGAAATATGTTTTCTGGCAACTAAGACTCTTAGTTCTTAGGTTCAGTGTTTATGTCACTATATATCCAACAAGAAGGGAAGCATATATTTGCATATGTATATATATGTATATTTACACATGTATGTATAGCTCCACCTATACAAATGCATCTATACATTTGCATATGTATGTGCATATTTGTATATATACGCATTTGTATGTGTATATGTACTATTTATACACATGCACATATACACACAATATAATCTACACTATAAGCTTGGGTAAGTATGGATTATCTCCAGGAGGAAGGTCTAGAATGGTTGTTTTGGGAAGAAAAATGGGATTCAGGAGTGAAATGAGACTGATTTGATTGACTGACTGCAATAATTTTATTTCTATGCGTATCTTAACAATTTAAATGAATAATTACACAATGGCAGAAGCAGAAATGACGGTTGTAGGAAAAGCCACAGAAAAGATCCTCCCCGGTGGATGGACTGGCCTGTGAGCCAACCTTGACCCTGGACAGAGTTGGGAAAAGAATTGAGGATGATAGGATAGACAGAGTGTGCTGGATCACCAGGACTCCTGGGGCCAGGTCCTGGAGCCCTGGCAGGTGGCATGGCAGGCGCTCTTGGGCACACTCACCTGGTACTCATTGTGCAGCACCATGATGCACAGTTCAAAATGTTGGCACTCTGTGAAGGGCGTGTGGGAATATTTCACCTCGCAATCCCAGCCCCCACACCGAAGGCTGTTCATGACCACACAATGGCCAAAGTATACGCGCAAATGGAAGGCGATGTCAGACTTCTCACTGGTGCCCGTGTGGAAATCCACCTGCAGCTGTGGGTCCTTTCTGAAGACAAAGCACATAGCATATTGGTCAGGTCCCCTCCCTGTGGTGGTCCACACACAGCACACAGGCCAAGCTTTCCCTACCTCTTCTCCATAGTGAAAGGAAGATGATATTTCCTTCACAGGTAATATATATTTTATTTTTGTCCCCGTGGGGCTGTCTGAGCTCATCTTGCCTGGAGTAGTGAGATATTCTGCCCTTTAGCCCAAGACTGAAAATGGGCTGCATGCACTGACCTAAGCCTGTTGGTTGTGCATTCCATGAAGTCTGTGTACCTTGTAAAAGCTACATTCTCTGCCCCCTTACATTCTGTCTATTGACTTTTTGCCTTAGGCTTATGACCTGTCCTGGTGGATGTTGTAGCCTGGTCCGCCTCACCTCTAATTCTTGAGTGTACCTGTAGGTGCTTCAGCCTGGGCCAGCTCAGCCTATTCCCAACCCTACTTCCCATGAATATCAATGAATTCCATGGTCATACTTAGCTAGGCCTGTCACCACCCTCAGCCCTCAAGCAAACGAGCTGATATGGTAATCCCACAGGCTGAACCCACAAATCCCCCACACTATCTGCTACCAGGTCTAGTTCTCTCATATGCCTGTTAGTATCAAGGCCCATGCCCCAACACTCACTGGTGGGTACTGTGGTTGATCCCTGCCAGACAGGCCCCACCCCAGCCATGGCTTTCATGTGAGCTGGTAGGTGGTGGTTGATACCAACTGGCCCAGTTCAGGTCTTGCACATGGATGGGTGTATTGGGTTTGGCTCTGAAAGGTCCTCCAGTTTCCCTTCTCTAAACCACCCAGTCTCAGCCCCCTTGTTTACCTGCAAGTCTAATAACCTTGTTGGTGTAAGTCATTCCTCACTGATCACATACTCCATCAATATTCATTCCTCCTACACATCTCCTGATGCACTTCCCTGAGAAATTTGTGCCCCCCCATGCCCACGAGCATGCAGGTCCAAGCCCAATCTTCTAATGGTGTGGCATCCTGCCCTAGGGCACTGCATGCTTGGGACCCATGCATGTTTGTGCACAGACCCCACCTGCTTGCCAGCCAGCCAGCATCTGCCCCTCTCACGACTTAAAAAAAAATAGAATAGGCAATTCTGCTGGCACACTGGTATAATTAACACAAATTTGGCATTAGTCAGGCCCAGGATGTCCACCAGCTATTGGCTGCTTTTCTCACAGCAGTGTAACACTTGCCTAGGTACAATACAAGTCTCATCTGTATTGATGGTCCTCCATCCCTTACCCATAGACTGCAAGATACTCACCTGAAACAATTGGCAGGTGCCCCTCTGATGGTCACTGAAGAACCGATGCACAAGGACACGTTCCGTGTATACGGGACCTGTTATGGGAATTGGGAATGGGTGAGAAGGGGCTGGGCTGGCTGTTGGTTCCCCTCCTGTAGTAGTTTCTGGGTTCAGCAAGTTAGGGGTCAAAGGGCCAACTCTGAAGACTCCTTCTTTCTACCCCAGCACAGTCAGCGGTCCCAGTTTTGTTGACAGACCAATAGGGTCCTACTTAAGAGGAGGTGTCAAGAGCCAGGCTTTCCTGCTGCTGATCCTGACTGTAGTCCTCCGCAGCAGTGGGATGGTAGATCCGTTATTTGGACTCCCCCTGCCTGCTTATCAGCATAGGTGGATTGTCGGGGACTCTTACTTCATAGGGTAGTCTCAGGAATAGAGGAACTTTAAATGTGGCAAGCATGCAGTCCTGGTGTGTATAGGGTATCTAGAATGAGTTTAGCCATCAGAGGGATGACCCTTTCTGGAATATAGCATCTGATAATTTTCTACTTTTGAACTGGTGAATGTGAGACATGAGGGTGTATAATTTATTTATTTCCGTGGAGAAAGTACATGTGTAAAGAGGGTGTGTGTGTGTGTGTGTGTGTGTGTGTGTGTGTGTTGGGTGGGTGGGGTGGGTATGTGGCACAGGGATTGGGACGCCTGCTTTCCATACTGGAGTGCCTGGTCAAGTCCTGGATACTTCTTTTTCCTTTATTTTCTTATTCCAAGACTTATTTATTTGAAAGACAGTTAAAGAGAGATTGAGAAAGAGATTTTCCATAGTTCATTCTAAGAGACTTCCATAGTCACTCCCCAAATGGATGCATCTCTCTCTGTGCCTTTCCAACAAATGAATCCTTCAAAAATGAGCGACAGAGCAGAGGGAATGTGCGCAAATGGTGAAGAGCATAGTTCCAAGACCTGTGCAGGGGTGTGTGGGACATGAAAAGAACTGGTCAAAATCTACAAGGTGTAGTTATAAGCTCGGTTTGTGTTGAGGTTACATTTATGGTATCCTGTTTGAGATGGTTTAATTCCCTGTGAACAAAGTCTCGCTGTGGCCTTCCTCTGGGTGTTCAGATCTGTCTCTCCTTTCTCTAGCCTGATGACAAAGCGAGGCTGGGCCAGAGGAAGGAAGAGGGAGACCTTGAGC